TAATCATCAACTGTAAATTATGATATAGATTACAGGCGTCCTGCTTGAATATCTTGGCTCCCTGTTCCTGCCATCTGGATATTTCAACAAGTTATATGTTTCCTTGTTTGTTTTAACAAATCATTATGCCTATTAGTCGCATAACTTATTCAGGTGCGTTTGTGAAAACTTTACGATACTTCGTTGTACAAGCTACAAAAGAGCCCAATCGGAAACATCATGGTTGCTAGCAATGTGCATCGAAAAGAATATAAATTAATCAGATGTCTATTCTTGAAATGGTGACCACTCAATATTTATCGCAGGGGTCGATCAAGAAATAAGAAAAGGAAACTTGTTGAAGTACTTTGTGCTGAGAATTCTATATTGTACCAAAAAAATAATATTGATTAAAGCTAATAATAATAGTAATAGTAATAATAATACATCATTTAAATAAATATCCGATCACGCCATATTCGATCATTATTATTAATAACGTTTTCTATCTCAATAAATACAACTCAGTCAACTAGTTTAATTTGCACAACGTTTCATGCCTAATATCTAAAACTAGGATAATAATATTAATGAATTTCGATACATGAATTTCCAGTAAATGGTTATTTCACACATTCGCAACAACTTTTAGGCGAATACTGATAGTTGTATGAGTAAACATATTACCAACAATGCATTGGATATTAGTGATACATATATTTATTAGCCTTTTTATCATTGAGTGGTCTAGTACTTGGATTGTGGCTACCATTCTAAGTGTTTAGAAGCAAACAAACGCGATATTAGTTTCTACTCAGTGGCCAATCAGTTTAAATGCCTTGATCCTACAGGAAGTTTCTGTTCTGTCTGTGATAGTGAGTCATAAAGATTTAGATCTCACATAGAATCGTTCGTTTCTTCAGTATTGTAAATATCCTTTCATAGTGAATATGATTTAACATAAAGTTTGGGTCTTTAGCTTTCTGCTAATTGCCTGGAACTATCTAACTTCAGCTACACTGAATGTTATCTTGGTTTATTTAAACCTATGGCTACATTACAACTTGATTTACATACAGCACAAACAAAGCTCACTGTCTGACAATTATAAACTACTATTTATTCGTTAAAACTTAAGTTCACTGCTTGGGAAATAATTACTAGTTAACCCAAAACAGCTCACTCTGTAGTGGACTAATTAGCCTAATTATTAAGCAAGTTGTATTACTCCGAGTAAAAGGGAGTTGAGGATAAACTAATGGTACATATTCTCTTTTTAAAGAATAATTTGATAGTTCTGTAGTTTGATTCCTTGCTGTAATAAAGGATAAACATATTTCCCTACTCATTACTATTCAAAGTCAGTTATATTGTCTCCAATTTAGATCCATGCTTAGAACATATTGCTTCAAGTATTAAAAGATAATTATTAAAGCTGTGAATTTACAGAGGTGATCTCCGTTTGATATGGGAAACATATCTAGTCTTGCATATTTGATTCGCCGAATCAAACCAGTTGATCGGTCTACAATAATATCAGAACATAAGTATCAAAAGTTATCGGAAACATGCTAACAAAAGGCCTATATATATGATGATAATGAAATGAGATATAAAATCTAATAAAACTCAGTAATCTGGACACAAAATAATATTTTAAGTGCATATTCATCTGAATTCACTTATTTCTGGAAACCTACTTTAAATATAATGTTTAATCTACTCATCTACGAGGTAAATATAATACTAAACTGGTTAGCGTGTTTAACATACATTATAAATCCTCTTCAAACTTTACTTATCTCTATAATGCTAACTTCCAAAGGAATTTATGATTTCGATTGGTTCTTTTAATTTAGTTGTTTGCCTTTCTCTTAAGTAAAAACAAAAGCATATCACCGTTTAATTAGTAGTCTTAGAATGCAGCTATAATAGAAATGAATTTGTAACCATTTCAATAAAATAAGTTAACTGTTCAGATAAGTGAAAGGACAAGAGAATTTTTTGTTAATGAAAAAAAAGTACACATACGAAGCCAATTGTATCATGTAGAAGAACAAGTGAATGAAGAAAGAAATCTCTATTCTATAACATGAACTATTTTTTGTTGTTGGATTGTTCAGATTAACAAGTAAGTAATATCATCAGAAGGGGTTTGTGGAGATTTTTAGAAATTTTCACAGATTGAAATCATGATTCAGTTGAAGCTAGACCACCATTGAAAACCTGGAAGCCCAGGACCTACTAGCTTCGCGCGCGAGCCCCGCGTGGTGCGGGATCGTGGATGCGCACTGCTGAGGAGTCCCATACTAGGACGAAACGGCCGTCCAGTGCTTCCAGGTTTTCAATGGTGGTCTAGCTTCAACTGAATCACAAGTAATATCAGTTTATATTTTATTTCGTAGTTCTCTCTTTTTTCTTTTTTTTGATAAGAGAACAAAAAGAAACAACCAATTCACACATTAATTTAGGACACTATAATAATGAACGAATCATAAAACTGAAAAGTTAAATCAATTTTATGAAGCTCTACTGTAATTTGTTAATTTTCATTACTAAACGATGACAATTTTTGTGAATCACTTTTAACCATAAACTATTAAATAGATGTTTTCTTCTCTTTTTAAAACTTGTTGACAATGTACAACTATTACATTACATGGGATCATGGAGAAAAACGTTTATAATATTTGTTCATGAATATGATACGATTATAATATATAGTAAATATCGAATGCATTATTCAATTTGAGAATTAGCTTGATAATTACTTTATTACCGACATGGTCAACTTCATAAGTCATGTCATCCAGACTTTGTTAAAATGTTATTTATTTATGGAAGACATTCATAACTTTAAAAAATGACATTTCCGTGCAGTACGGTTTTAAAAATACGAGCTACGCAATTGCGTTACAATATCAAGTAACTTGATAATTGAGTCTACTGTAAAAATTCTACTAGCTTTTTGCAGTTCCAGGGGTATCTTTGTCATATTTTAGTTGATGTCAGTTTCAGTTAAGGAGTATTTCGAAGCTAAAAATTCACCTAAGTAATGTATGAAATGATCCTTGGACAACACGTACTGAAATTAAAAAAACTAACCACAATCTATGTTTTCTAAAGTTCTAAATTTAAAACTGAACTTAGAAATATTTCGAATATCTGAAATTGGTTAGAGTAGGAAAACAACAACAGATTGTTTGTCTTTTAAAAATATTTAAATGTATTTAGGGACTTGTTTCTTTCACGAAGACTGATCTCAGAAAGAAAGCTAGATAAAAATCGCAAATCGGAAGATGTTATACAACTGTAGTCTTTGGAACTCCTCACCAGAATGGACCGGTGACTGCTCTAGGGATGGATATCGCTACCTATAGGCTTAGCACCGATAGCTCTACATTTAATCCAATTGGTTTTCATTCGATGATAAACATTTTCAACTTCAGTCGACATGCGGTGTTATTCAATCATCATTAGTTACCGTCTGAGACAACTCCTTCATTTCTGTGATGATTGGACCCCGCTTCTCACTGGCAATTCAAGAATATGTCTCATAATTGAGAGATTAATCATTATTAAAATAAAAGATTTGTAGAGGCATTCTGAACTAGCATGATATATATTTTCAATGCTTTCCGATTTGGAATAATTCTTCAGTTCATATCATTTGGTAAAGAAAATTACTTTCAAAAGTCCTACATTTATGGATAAAAACCCAGAAGCTTAGAAGTAATTATCCAGAATTAATGAATACAATTAGAACAAAAGATTTTCCTTGCTAATGATTATTGTCACAAAACGTTAGTGTAAAAGCTCCGACATTATTCAAGAACTGTAACGTAAAGTTTAGAGCGGAATCATATTTTTACTTTAATTCACACCCTGCACACCTACATTTAGTTTATCCGAGATAATGCTTCTATAGTTTTCGTTGTTACCAACTTATGTACCATGGTTATAAATTACCTGAGAATATACAGAAATTGAACAAGAAACGTATCTCATGTAGAGATGATATTGTGTAGTTGTTACTAAGTGGGAAAGTATAAAAGTGATTTAGCGTAGTGACAAGTCATTTTAATAAAGCAAGACCTAGCTGTTAGCGTATATGCACTTGATTCTTTAACATTCATTAGAACTACTGTTGTTATTTACATGTTAAAAAAAGCAACAATTTTAGAACCACAAGTGTATGTAAACAGGAAATTTCAGTTCTGTTGCTTTTTGTTAAGTGTGTTGGTTAATTCAAATACTACTTTTTCAAGAAAGTACCTTCAAGTTAATTTGGAATTATCCTAAGTTATAAAAAAGAACATTTATTATATATTAACACACGACAAAGTAAGGAAAATGCAATATTTCGTGAATGATCATCACTATGAAACTGAGTGAATTTAACTCAAAAACACTTAATCATGCAGAATTATGTACACTAATGAAGTTATAAATAAAAAAGCATCCCATCTACTTAATTAGTTGACGATTCGTCTAAATTACATGATTGATAAACACTGAACAACACTTTCAAATCAATGAAATTTTTAACAGTTTACGGCTATTATTGTTGCGATTATCTCTATTATAAAAATGAAGAAATAATCCTTTCTGTTGTAAAACCCATATAAAATAGCTGATTTTTCAAAAAGGCTATTTATAATATATTAATCCATTTATTGGATCTAATTTCATCTCAACATTTCAAATAGGATCGAGTTGTATCTGTTTAGTATCATTCGAGTACTGAGTAATAATCAATGTTATATTGTTTGAATTCTTTTTTCTAATCAGATTCTTTCGATCAGATTTGTAATGCTGAAACTAAACTAATATGATTTAATGTCACGATGAATTTTTTTTAGATAGTTGTATAAAATCGATATGAGACACTGAATCCGATTTCTGGGCTTGTTTGCATTCATAATAAATCTCCAATATATTGTCACATTTATTTAGGAAGAATATCAATAAATTCTTAGAGTAACTTGTTTTAACAAAAATTAATTAACTTATCAACTCACCAGTATGTTCATATTTGTGCCTGGATAGTGAACTATGTTTAGAAAAGACTTTTCGACATTGATCACAAGCAAATACTTCCGTGTTATTGACGCCATCACTACAACTACTAATGCTACCATTGATACTGTCATTAAAACTATTGTTACTTTTTCCATATTTCTCCAATTTTTCACAAACACCGAGATGATATAAATGATTATAATAACTATTATCATTGATATGGCCATTAATCTTTTTATCAGATTGAATACGATCACTGGTATCTTGTTGTTCATTGATTTGAGTGGATGAATTTTCAGCATCTCTTAGCTAAAAGAGTAAAGAAAGAATCAAGATATATACAAAAAGATAACACTGAAAATGGTTACACAATTATAAGTCGTTTATACAACTAGCTTTTTTGTAGGAAAAAGATTGTTAGTTTCAGCGAAGATCATCTGCACTTGAACCGATTAACTAACTGACTATTGATTAATAATAAAAAAATTAGACTTGTTGCTTTTCATCATTATAAATACTAAAATGAAACAACAATCTCCAACAGAAATTTTATTCGCTAAACTATTGATAACAATCAGAATGCTGGTTTGTGGAGATTGTAGTAATTTTAATTGTTAAATACATGAGTCGATCTAAACTAGAGCACTATTGGAAACCTGGGAGCACTGGACGGCCGTGTCATACTAGTATGGGACTCCTCATCAGCGTGCGTTCACGATTTCACTTATGAGACTTGAACCCAGGACCTTATGTCTCTCGAGAGAGCGCCCAACCTCTAGACCACTTAGCTGGCATCCAACGGTGTTAATGTCTAGGACTTAACTGTTTGCGTGAGAGACCGTAGGTCCTGGGTTCAAGTTCCATATGTGAAGTTGTGAACGCACACTGATGAGGAGGTCCATACTAGGACGAAACGGCCGTCCAGTACTTCCAGGTTTCTAGTTTAGATCGACTCATGAATTCAACTATTAAAATATCAATACTAAACTCATTGATGTCAGCATTAGTTATTTTTAAAAATTAATGTAAAATCTATTAATTACTGTTTTGAGATGATGAAATATCAAAGACAATCCATGCAATGCAGAATAACTGTGTTGTTTTCTTGTTAGCTGTCAGAAACTCGAAATGAATCCCTATACTTTCATTTACTCCTATATATTGAGTGAGTAGAAAGTGTGTAAAAAATAAAATTATCTGGATTTCAGTTTAAATTAGTTAACGATCACTTTGAAAAAACTTTAAAATGTCTATATTTCTTAGCTAGTCTTCTGCTTTATCCACAACTTACAGGTCAATTAAGTTAAAAAGTTATTATGCACTTCATAAGATCATATTTGTATCGTGGTCTATTTTGTGTATTATCTTGTTTGTAACACTATTAAAATACCCATAGTTATATGTAGGCTAACAGATGAATCTATGGTAATATATATGTCACTAGAATGGTCACCCATGTGTGTTTTTAAGTAGTTTCGACCTTACACACAATTTCTTTCTGGCTTATAAGTTTGAATTTCATTCCAGCTGTGTATTTTAGAACAATTAATGAATTAACAATATCATGGTCACAAATATATCCTATACATAAACACTTGTATAATCATTAACTTTCGTCTAAATTCAATTAAATACTGCCTAGAATGGAGTTAACTTTTTAGTTAGCTGTTCACACCATCATTCTTTTATAAACCTGGCTTTTTTACCATTACCATTGTTATCAGTAGTAGTAGTAGTAGTAGTAGTAGTAGTAGTAGTAGTAGTAGTAGTAGTAGTAGTAGTAGTAGTAGTAGTAGTAGTAGTAATAGTAGTAGTAGTATCATCGTTGTTATTATTCTCCCTAATTAGTCTAGTTTTAATATTTGGAAAATACTTTGCAGCATTTTAGTCACAAGACGTTTCTCCTAGACAAGTAAAAATCTTTTATTATACCATTGTGTAAATCCTGAATTATTTAGTCTAATTTTCCCAATTCACAGCTGACGTGCCTCACTACAAAATCATTATGTCTTTTGATTTGTCATAACAAGTTGACAACACTGGGTACTACTGCTAATCAATGTTAATAAAATTTCAATACTCACTATATTGAGTAGTTTATTTACCAGGTCACCAGTATCCTCGTATTCCAGTAAATAAATTCATGAAACAACGACGTGCATAATACTTTTTCATATTGTAATGAGAAAATAACACAAATTCTTATAATACACTGTATCAATGTTTATCAGTTGAGTTATGATGATCATGAACTGAATGTTATATTACATAACATTTGTGAACAAAAACACCACTACAGTGATTGTTAGCCACATCATACTCAAAATGAATCATTCACGTCAATAACATTAAAGTTTTGCACTTTAACTGATAAAGTGTTGTGTTAAAAAAAATCATCTAGTTTCACTTAAAGATGCGCATAATTAGGTTTTGATGACTGTCAATCTATTCATCCATACCTTATTTTCCAACACTGAACATGATTAATCTATTAATAATCATAACAAATACAGTGAAAATATTACCTATTTCGATGACGAAACATTTTTAACCTATCCACAGAACTCAGAGAATAAATGCATATTTATTATACTTAGCCATTATTGTTGTAACACGATATTATTATTATTATTAGCTTTATTCAATATTATATTATTGGTACATTATCGAATTCTCAGCACAAAGTATTTCAACAAGTTTCCGTTTCTTTCTTCTTGGTCGGTCCTCGCGATAAATACTGAGTGGTCGCCAGCTAGATGTTATCAATCCAGTAAATGAACATGGGAATGATGTACATTCTTTTCGTTGTATATTGCCAGCAACCATATTTTCTCTTTTTGAGCTTTTTGTAACTTTGATAACGAAAGGTTGTACATTTTTCAGAAACGCAGCAGACTGGGTTGTGCGATTAATAGACATAATGATATATTAAAACAAACAAAAATAGATAACTTGTTGAAATATTTAGATGGCAGGAACAGGTAGCCCAGATGAATAATTCGTATTAATGAACAAGTAAATTACTCCTCAAGTATTTCTCAGTCACTTCACAAGTCAAGATCCATTCATTTTTAATATGGTATCATCAGCAGTTAGGTTCAACTGATGAGGCGTAGGAAACCAAATAACACTAGAAAATCGGTTCCTTTTATGTTTATATTTCTCAACAATCCCCACTCAAGGCCTCAACAACAATCAAATTTAGGGTACTCAGTTGGCGCATTGTGTGCGATGGCTTTCGCCCAGTGAATTGTAACTAAATGGTCTGCATTTCCAACTTTAGTTAATCCTTAATATAGTGCAACGATTATCCAGTTTCATATGTGATTCTGGTCTTACTGTCGACAAAATTAAACTGCGCCGAGCATAATTCATGACCACAACACATTTCTTTGTTTAGAATTGTAAGTTAAACAACAATAAACGTTTGTATTATCAGAAACGATAAAACAGATGAAATTATTTAGGAATAGTAAACTCTTTTAAGGCAGCATATAAATAAAAACACAGAGAAACTATCTGATCTAATAAATATCAACAAGCATTTACAATATAATGAATGTGATAATTTTATATTCCATAAATTTCTGAATGATAGATTCTTAGAAAGAATATCCATTAGTCCATCGAGTTACAGAAGTCATCATTGAGAATTGGACTGAGAATAATAAATTTTTCTCTACATGACCAATATTAGATTTTACAAGTCAGTTTTATTTTATCAAAAATTTACTCAGTGCTTTCCCTCTTGTTCAAAACAGCTGTTAAATTTAGCATATACTGACTATGACACTATCCTCACTCATTGTGATTAGTAAATTACAGTTTGGTTCTTAAAAATGACATTTCACGGCTTCCTGATCGCCAGAAAATCAAAGTTTCAAAATTCAATCACATGTGGAACATTAGTTATGAGTTTGCAATGATGAGGATTCCCATATTAGCCTTTTCAATTCATCTAATAATTCACAGTCTTCGAGAGTCCCTCATCCAACGTTAGTTTAGGAATGAAAAGTACTTCCAAATTATAGGAACTCTTCCCAGTACCACCTAATTAGGAAATATTGGTTTTATTTTCATTTTTAATATCATTAAAATTTAATCTAAAGAATGATTTCTTTATTTAGGATTTCAATAAATAGCTATTGAGACTAGGTCCTCTAGTTTACTTGTAAACGAACTGAAGACATAGTACTGAAGTGTACTAAAAACAATTTATTTTAAAAATGGATTTAAATCAGTAACTATGTGCAGTTCCGTTAATTTGACTCTTAACTATTCCACCTGTATGAGAATAGTATCATTCCCCATCAGTCAAATTAAATTAAGTGAGGTGGGTTAGAAAACTTAGGTGGGAAATCAGTGTTTTAATTTATAAATCACCATGTGATTGATTCTATTTAAAGCGACCATTAGTTACAACATATAGTCAAGGTGAATAGTAAAATAAAGGATCTAATGATAATTCAATTGATTTTGATCGTGTATACTTTAAGAACTGACTTTTCAGATCATATTACACTCCATATATAGCTAGCTCATCTAAGTTTTATAAACTTTAATGATATATATACAGAGTTACCCTATGATATCCAGTTAACTTCTAGGAAGGAGTATCCGATAGAAACTGAAGGCGTCAATCCGTTTTTCATTTATAAAATATTGAGTTTCACTTTTTTTAGAAACACTGTTAAGGTTAAATAACAATTAATCTTGACAGTCATATAATTTATGAATAATGTAAATATATGGTAACTAACTTCCTTCACAACGCTTCTCTTATCCATTGTGGTCTTTATATAAGTAGAATAGTCAAACTCATTTGTATTATAATGATTATTTCTTTCAGTTTTACAATCGTCACTGCTATCACTAATATTATGAATACAATTTCTGTTAAGTTCATATGTCCATGAAGAATTGTTAGGTGATATTGACCTAGATGACTGTGATAAATCCTTTATTGAAATATCATTTAAATGTTCTAAATTTTGATTTGAATAATTCATTTCATTTGATGTTCGCGATAAAAAGGAAACAGCCGCAACCGCTGCAGTAGCCGCTTCCATAAATGTCATTGTTGATGCTGCTGACCAGATTAGGTTAGGTGAATTATGAATGTCCGGTTGATAAGAATTTAAATAGTTAAACTGTTGATTGTCTGTACTTAATGGTATATCATCAGGTTTTATTCGAGGCAATGACAAATCTAAAGCCTTTTCCTGATCTTCATGAAGCTCCTCACTTCGGCATTCCGAAATCGTTTCTTTCTCCTGTTGTACAAATGTAATTGGTTGTGCAGTTCTCATCGTCGCCGCTGTCATCATCATTTCCAACGGTGATGATTGTTGTGGTGGTGGTAACAGTGGGGATTGCCGTGTTTCCATTATGCGTGAATTAAAATCCTGTTGTTTATAAGTAAAAGATGATAATGGAGTTGAGTAATTTAATACATTATTTCTGTGTAAATTCGAAATTATATGTTTCATGATATCTGGAGATAGTTGACAGAATATCATCGATGGATCCTGTTGTGAATAATTAGATGAGCACACTGTCGATGGTAAATTCGTCACATTTGTTGCTGATATAGACGATAATGAAGAAGATGAAGAAACACCGAGATAGGATATTGAAGGTGATGATGATAATGGTGAGAAAGAAGGTAAAGTAGAGAAAAAGGCAGAGGATGATAATGAGTTCGAAGCATAATTATCGACTTTATAACTTTCATACTTGGTAAAACTGTCATTATTGAACGACTTCGGTTGACGATTAAGTAATTCATGATTATTGACTACTGAGATCACTGGTGAAGATGTAACTATATTTGCATGTTGTAGTGGATAATAGTGCGAATACTGTGTATTGTAGGCATTGATAAATTGTTTTTTCTGTTCCATACATTGATGTTGTTCAGTTGTATACAGATGTTGGAATAATTGTTCCGCATTTTCTGGTTTTATTCCAAGCATAATTGCTAAATTTTGTATTGCTAACTCTGATTTGAACGAATTTTTTAAATCGTACTGACTACATAATAACTCGTCAGGTTGTTCATCTGCATGATGTAAATTACTATTATTAGCAATGGTATTTAAAGTGGTAATAATACTACTAGTAGTAGTAGTAGTACTGTGAACATGCTCACTAATTTCATCATTCTTTAACTGTGAATTAAACTGGTTCGATGAATTAGCTGGCAAATAGTTATCTAGTTTTAAATGATTAAATTTTAAAAAATAATCCGAATTATTAACTTGATTGACAGATTCTAATATACTTGAAACAGAGCTAAGTTCAGTGTCTTCACTGATATGAATACTATTTCTAATATCGTGTTCTTTATTTAATACATTTACCTTGTTTTTGTGTAATTCAAAAGATGACGTGAGTTGGTTTATTTTATTAAAAGATATTTGATTCGTAAGAGTATCATTAGTTGCAAACATTTGACCAACATCGTTAATATTTTTGTTATGATGAATACTGACATTAGGAGTATGTGTAATTGTTGTTCTAGCTTCATTATTACTGTTACCATTGGTATTACATTTTTTGCTTGACATATGACTTGAATATGAACCAGAATGGCTAAAACGTTTACCGCATTGTGAACACATAAATGGTTTTTCACCACTATGAATTCTTTCATGTTCTTTTAAATGATGCTTAAATTTAAATGCTTTTGTACACTGAGAACAACGGAATTTGCGTAATTCATAACTTTCAGTGTGACTAAGTAAATGTCTGTGTAAACGATAAATATTAGCAAATTGTTTACCACATTGACTACATATTGGTGTATTACGTGTAGATGAATCAATTTCCATGGTTGAATGTTGTTGCTCCACTGAATCATTATGTTCACGTTTATCCAATTTTGGTTGAATGGAATAATTAGTTGATGAGATATTTTCTTGGCATTGTTTTACATGTTGATTCACTTCTAAGGTTGCTGTTGACGTATCAGGGTATAACTCCATTTTGCTCAACTGTTTAGACAGTATTCTTCCACTTTTGGATGGTGATTTATGCTCCATGGAACTTTTTGGTTTTTTTGAATCAGGTTCACATGATGATGACGATGTTGAAGAGGATGATAAAGACGACAATGTCGAATATGGAGTAGGTGAACAATCTGAAGTATTGATCATCCTTGAAGTTGGTGTTATCAATATTAATGGTGGGTTAGCTATGCTTCTAGTAGATATGTCAGGAGTTAAATAATTTGAAAATTCACAAGTTTCCAATGTTTGATATTGTTCAGTATGATCTGAAAATTTGTCAAAAATACATTTTAGTATATGATAGTCATCTTTGAGATAAGTAAAAGAGGTGAAAAGAAGTGGGTTAATTGATCTCATTTGAATTCTGTGATCATAGAGAGTAACTGATGAATTCTTGTGAGACATGCAAACACTTCTGACGGTGTGTTTACCTTCTATCTGAATTTCATTCACTTGAAATCAAGGTGAGTTTTAACTCCCTTTCTATAAATTCTACTTCTCACTACCCTCCCCCCCACCACATATATGCCCATTTACCATACCACCTGGCAAAACAGGTTACAGCATTTCACCTACTATTTTTGAAATATAATATGATAGAGGCAGTAACATCATACCACGCCTACATACACCTTTACAAAAACCACTGGTTAACACGTGGGCAAATAGGTTAACAACTTTACTATTCATATCCATGCATATGTTATGTATGTACGTATATATGAATCTATTCAACCAATTAGGATACAGGTGAGATATTGCACCGCAATGTTTTCATGTGTACTTTCCTACCCTTTCAGAGAAACTAACAAGGAGATTCTAGACATTTTCTACTAGGTAGGATTTAAATACATATTTGTATACATAAAGAAACATACGTTCCCCGTTGGTCTATGTGTCTATGTATAGGATTTAAGCAATTTCTTGAAAGCTTTAGCACTAGTATACACCTGATGACAGTAGTTAAAGTAGAAAGTAATGGAATAAAGGACAATACGAAATGGAAAAAAAGGAGATGAAATTCGAAAAACAGGAATATGAATAATAATGTTCGGGGTTCACTATGTTCAGGTGTGAATTATTTTAGTAGGTCATCACATAAAGTGAATTGTCCAATCATTGATTTGTAAAGAACTAGACAACGCATTATTGGTATAAAATTGTATCGTAGTTTTAGTTCTCATTAGGTGAGCCATTCCATTAGATGAGATGGGAATTTACAAATTCACAAGGCACACAATATGTATACACTAAGAATTGTTATTCATGAGCGAAAGTCACCTGTATTGCCTGGAAATTTTTCACAGTTGAAATCAAGAGTTGAATTAAGATATGTCACCATTAAAAACCTGGAAGTACTGGACGACCGTTTCATCCTAGTACGGGACCCCTTAAAAGTGCGTATCCGTAATCCCGCGCGCTTAACCTCTAAGACGAGGATTCGGTATTCAACGGTATTAATGACTTGCGTGCAGGATCGCGGATGCGGATTGTCAAGGAGTCCAATACTAGGATGAAATAGCCGTCGAGCGCTTTTAGGCTCTCAATGGTGGTCTAGCTTAGATCAACTCGTGATTTCAACTGTGAAAATACTACAATCTTCACAAATCCACATACTGAAAAATATTCACCATGAAGTAAAAATTATATATAATGCAATCACAGTTATATTGATAACTCGGAAATCTGCAACTTTCGCCATCACATTTAGGTTTCATTGAAAGTAATCTCTATCCAGCCAGAAGCTCGAAATATTTACTGAGTTGTGTTTTTCCCAGCACCGCTCAAATCTGAAGTCAAAATAGCGTTCCTATGAAAACTTTCTTCAAGCCATTTAATTTCTCCCAAAATGTACATGAAAACATTACCATAACAATTACAATTTAATTATTTTCTATTGATTGTTTGAATTTTCCCATTTACATTATTGAACTGTAATTGATCATTCATTTTCGGCATATGCACATCCTTTGTGGACTGCCTCAATATTACCAATGAGTCGCAAACATGTTAGGCAAAGTTGGATGGTTCAGGTGTTGAAATCCCGAACGCTTAAAATCAAAATTTAGTTTAGTATTTTTTAGCAAGTAGTCGACTTCATCGACTGACACCATTCAGTAAACCAAGAAAGACTGAATTTGTATTTCAGCCATATTTAGGACCTGTCGGTAAAATGTCTACACAATCTTACATCACTGTCTAGATACTGTTAAAATCCAATTAGAGATCTTTTTTTAAAAACTTAAACAATAGGTGAAGTAGCTTTATCCACATTTCCATTTGATAACTTTGTGAGTTTTAATGTAATTTTAGAGTAGCATTTAAAGTTAACAGCTTATCGATAGTTAATCTTTTGTATTTCACAAATTATAACATTTTAACCATTTAATATCCTACAAGAATGATCCTAAAATAGATTTCACTAAAAGAAAAGAGATCTCCAAGAGAAAGATAACTGAACAAGACCAGTAAAATCAGTATAAAGTACACTACACATCAATAAACAAACAATATACTCAAGTTATTGGTAATTAGAAATCATATTTATATTCTATTAATAAGATTCCTAAATGTAAGATAAATGATCGAGAATAAGATAATTTATACTAACAATTGATAGTAGAGTATAATGAAACTTCACGTATTCAATATAGTGCAAAGTTCCTTCAAGTACATTTTTATTTAAAAGGAACTTCATTACCTCATCATAAAATTAAAATCAACAAGAGATAATTTGATAAGAAAAAAATATAAAGACATAAGTCAATAAAAGATTGTCTACCAGCTGGTTATCTATGGTCAATCTAATATTGAACTCAGAATTTAAATATTTAAACAACAAACTAATCATCAATAAGTAATTTTTGAAATTTGGAATTTTTTATTATTATTCCGTTTTAAAAATGAAGAATATTTGAGCGAATAATTGTTTTCAATAACTTCTTCATCAGGCTCTACAGTTATAAGTCCAAGGTGGTCCCCACCATGTCCAAGTATGGACATCTGTATGATCTGACTCAGTATACGTAGATAACCTCCTTGACTGATGATCCGTACACATGGGAAATTAACATTTACTTTAATCGGTTAAAAATAGAATCAAATTCAAAAGTATGTTATATAAGAATTTTTTTTTAAAAAGTGTGAAAATCATATTTAATAGAGAAAAACTTAAAATTAATCTTATTTATTTATTCGGTTGTTTTCCTATTGTCGCGGTAATGATATTTGTACTTTATCATGTCAATAAAGCACTTCATTCTACCTTTCTATTATACATTTCGTTATATATATTCAGTTAATTAATTGAATAATGATAAGCACTTAGATAGAGGTAGTCAATACTATTCATATTTTAACTATTACTAATCGTCCATCTGTCTACAAAAATATTCACATATCAAAATTAAAATGATTAACCTTTGATTTCACATAAATGTTTATAAATATACATCTATGTATAATGTGTCAATGTTTACAGGTATGTGAAAATGCAAGTCTATGTCAAGGTGAAGGTAAACTTTAGTGAAAATTTTTATTCTAATAAGTAGGTTGCTGAAATTTAAGTTGATTTTGAAGATGCTTACAGTTAGGTACCGATGTTAGCTGGATAAAACTTGAAAATCAGAAGACGTTGTACTATTGTTTAATCAGCAACATACAGCTTTGGATGATACATATTCTATAAATAAAAAACAAGTGGATCGAGGCTAAAAGGGTTTGTTTTTCATAATATAAGGGTATGTAAGCAATTGTCTCACTTTTGTTTCCATTGTCTACAACGTCACTGTAAGCTTCCAGAAGACAAGCTCTCTATTTGTTTAGTCATTTTATTCTTATTGTCTTTATGTCGTCTGAGTGGCTCCTCCTCATGATCATTTTGTATTTTAATAAAAGTAAATCTGTGTAGAATTAGTTCTGTAACTAAAGGAAGTGATCTAGTGTTATAATCGAATTAGACGGGTGGGATCGCTGGAGAGCCTCTGCTGAGTGTGTAATGTCTTATCACTATGCAGCAGCTATCTATCAGTATCACAACAGTTTGGTTGTATTTCCTTTTCTCCAGTTTCGACTGGATGTCATGCACACAGAACCATGATTAATTATGTCTATAACTAACAACTTCGACTGTAGATGATACCTTGACATAGTTGTCGAACTTGCATATCGTGATAAACCAGAAGAGTTATATTAGTTGGCACACTTGTCCCTTTAATTCATATCATATTATCATGCCGGTCGGGTCGGGTGGACAATGGTGTAAATAAAAGCAACGACTAAAGGTTCGAGAGTAAGGTTATACCGCTGAATGAGCTTGAGTGTGAAAGTAGTGAGGTGTTTCCCTAAAATAAACATTAACTGCAGTGATGTTAACTTTTTATCAAGGAAGAAAACGGTTAGAAAATGTCGGTCCTATGGATTTCAGTCTCTCGCGATAAGGTCTTTAAGATACAGACATAACGCATAGAAAACTTTTCGCATAAAGCTCATGTGTGACTGGTCTCAAGTATTTGTCCCTTGGGCTCTGTGGTTACGTTCGCATGTAATCATGACCACTATTTATGCACCTCATTTTCAGGTACCTTGATAAGTACTCTTCCATGGTTTAGGTTCCCAGGAGATAATAACAGCCCACATAACCTTAACAGAACTCGAGATACTCTTGTTCACGATAAAACATTTGATCGCTTCAAAGTATTCCTTCTGTCCTCACTATCAACCCTTTTCCTATTACTTTATCACCGAGTCATTGCTAAAGATTTGGATTCCCGGAATTTTATTCCTCGTTTCCTGAAACCATCTTCTGAACTAAATGTTGAAGATGTCAATATTCGGACTTCATGTCAAGTAGGACAAAAGGTTTATCTAGTTAGAACTCTTGAATTTTTTATGTACTATGTCGACAAAACACGCACGCTGGGTCCAAGTATGGACATCTGTATGACCTGACTCAGTATACGTAGATAACCTCCTTGACTGATGATCCGTATACTTGGGAAATTAACATTTACTTTAATCGGTTAAGAATAGAATCTAGTTCAAAAGTATGTTAGACTATCATAGACTGGATTTCAGTAGGAAAGTATTTATGTGTAATCCATTTCAAGTGGGTCGTATAAATTAGAGCAGATAGGGAAAAATCTACTACCTCATCTCTTTAGTTTCTATCACGAGAGTGGTCGTGGATGATCACTGCTAACGAGTCTTATACCAGAACGAAAAATATACATACTCATTTCCCTTCTGAAATTGTTGTCTAACCAAT